AGAAGTCTTTTGAAAGAGCTGGGTATAAATGGAAAGGAGTACAACTTAAATATGCAGTGGTTTGGAGGAAGAACTGCCCAGGAGGCCGCCACAGTAGTCAATCTCGAAATCAGCGGAAAGGGATTACGTAAGCGTCACAGGTTACGTCGCGTCTTTGTTTTGCCGAACCTAAATCTGCCAGTGCAAAGTCTGGATAGCAATGACTTACGCGGATTGGTTTCCCGCGAATTGCCAAACATGCCTACCCCGTTCTCCAACGCCACTCCGATGGTACTCATTGGGCTAGATCATTGCCGCTTAGGTTTGCCATCCGTCACAATGCAGCTCGAAGATAGAGGGCCATATGCAGCCAACACGGAGCTCGGCTGGGTAGTTTTTGGGCCGACTGGACAGAGAGTAGCGCCGAATGCAGCGTGTTTACTTGTCAAGGAGGTGAGTGATTTGCATAATTTAGTCCAAGAATATTTTGATATCGAAAGTTTCGGGGTGCGACCCGCGCCAGCATTAAAAAGTCATGCAGATGCCCGCGCTGAACGCGTACTTAAGCAAACGACGATTCGTGTTAATGGTAAATTTCAGACTGGGCTTCTTTGGAAGAGCGACTTTGTCAAATTGCCAGACAGTTACCGGATGGCCGAGAGTAGATTATTCGGCATCGAGAGAAAACTTAAAAGAGATCGAGTATTTGCCGCGACCTATAAAGGACTAATAGAGCGCTACATTGAGAAAGGGTATGCGCGAAAGTTGACACCCGCTGAAAGGGAGACAAAAAGTACAAGGTTGTGGTACCTGCCCCATTTCGCGGTGGTAAATCCTAATAAGCCAGGGAAATTGCGTCTTGTGTTCGATGCGGCCGCCTCTGTCGGGGGCGTTTCACTCAACTCATGCTTACTTAAAGGGCCGCAGGAATATCAGCCCATGCCTTCCGTGCTTTTTAATTTTCGTGTAGGATCAGTCGGTGTATGTGGAGACATAGCCGAGATGTTCCACCAAATCTACGTTCGGCCCGAAGATAGATGCTCGCAGAGGTTCTTATGGAGGGAGGACGATAAAAATTTACCGGAAATTTACGAGATGCAGGTTATGACTTTCGGTGCGGCCTGCTCCCCGTGTGCAGCACACTTTGTAAAGACGTCAAACGCAATGGAGTATGCAGATCGTTTTCCTCGCGCCGTGGAGTCCATAGTGAAGCACCACTATGTTGACGACTTTGTCGACAGCTTCGAGTCGGAGGAGCAGGCAGTAAGTGTAGCTAAGCAGGTGTCCAAAATACACGAAGCAGCTGGATTCCAGATGCGTGGGTATATATCCAATTCTTTAGCTGTAATGGAAGAACTAGGCGGCGTTGCGGAAGCAAGCAACACGAGAAGCAGCTATTTCGACGCAAAGAACCCTTCCACCGAAAAAGTCCTTGGAATGTTTTGGTCCCCACAAGATGATAGCTTCAGATACAAGCTGAGTTTCCCACGGCTTGAAACAGAAGTCATTAGTGGTAGCAGGCCGCCAACAAAACGAGAAGTACTTAGCTATGTGATGTCGATTTTCGACCCATTGGGATTTTTGAGCCATCTGGTAGTTGGAGCCAAGCTAATAATGCGAGAAGTATGGAGGCGCAAGACCACTTGGGACGAGCCGCTGCACGATGACGTCACCGCTGCTTGGAGAAATTGGCGGAAAGAGGTATGCAAAACAGCTGCGGTAAGAATTCCACGTTTCTACTTCACCGAAAGTGCGCCAAAAAACTTGGAGTTGCACGTTTTTGTAGACGCTAGCGAGGAGGCCTTTGCTGCAGTATGTTATTGGAGATATGTGTCTGCTGGCGGGAGCATCCAAGTTTCGCTTGTATGCGCGAAATCCAAATGCGCGCCAATGAAACTAATGACTATACCCCGGCTCGAGCTCCAAGCGGCTGTTCTTGGAACGCGCTTGTCTCAAACAATACTCGACGAACATCGCCTTGAAGTCTCCTCGCGTGTCCTATGGAGTGACTCATCAACTGTCATTAGTTGGATCAATTCCAAGCACCGGCAATATAAGCCGTTCGTCGCGCACCGTATAGCGGAGATTCTCTCAACAACTCACCCGAGTGATTGGAGATGGCTTCCTACTAACGAAAATGTCGCCGATGCTGCAACACGCAGAACGTCTCAAATAGATATTAATCCGTCAACGCGCTGGTTCTCAGGCCCAAAGTTTTTATCCATGACTGTCGAATCGTGGCCGCATATGCCGATCACTGTGAACAGCCATCATGATAGTGACGAAGAGATTCGCACAAAACAAATTTTTCTTACAAATAACACAAATTTAATTGATATTAATCGCTTTTCCTCATATACCAGGTTGAAGAGAACTACGGCCTGGATGTTAAGATTCATAGATCGCAGTCGTGGTAGACGTTCCGGTGGCGGTGAGTTTGGATTAACATCAGGTGAACTAGATGCAGCAGAAACGTATCTATGCAGGCAAGCTCAGTCTGCGGTATACGCTATGGAGTTGAAACAACTACAAGGTGGACAAATCGTGCCAAATGAAAGTCCAATATTTAGTTTGCTACCGTACTTGGATACTAATTCGGTCATAAGAGTTGGTGGTAGGATCCAAGCCGCCAGCTGGTTACCACTAGAAGCCATACATCCAATCGCCCTGCCACCGAAACATCGTATCACTGTGCTGATTGTCGCGTTTTACCACCGAAAAATGAAGCATCAGAACATAGAAGCGACAATTGGAGAAGTCAGACAAAAATTCTGGGTTGTCAACATAAGGCAGGTCTTGCGAAAGGTTATAAATGACTGTATGATATGTAGAATTGCACGCTCTAAGCCAGTCACGCCAATTATGGGTCCTCTTCCTGAGGACAGATTGACGCCGTACATCAGACCGTTCAGCTACACTGGCTTGGACTACTTCGGTCCTCTAAAGGTTACAATTGGTCGACGCACTGAGAAGCGGTGGGTAGCCCTTTTCACCTGCCTCACGATCCGTGCGATACATTTGGAGGTGGCTTATGATTTATCCACCGACTCCTGCATCCTAGCCATCAGGAACTTTATCAATCGGCGCGGTGTACCTGTAAGATTGAGGAGTGACAACGGTAAGAACTTCGTTGGCGCTGATCAAGAGGCGAAACGGTTTGACGAGGTATTCGACTGCGAGCGTGTGAGCGACGAGCTATCAACGAAAGGCGTTGAATGGATATTCAATTGTCCACACAACCCATCGGAAGGCGGTATATGGGAGAGAATGGTACGTTGCGTCAAACGTGTGTTAAGTCACACACTGAAAGAAGTCGCTCCTCGCGAACATACCTTACAAAGCGTAATCATAGAGGCAGAAAATATTGTTAATTCGCGGCCTCTCACTCATCTACCGATCTCAGTAGATCAAGAAGAGCCGCTAACCCCAAACCATTTTCTCTTGGGGTCGGCTAATACGATGCAAACGCCTTGTATAGGACATCCAGATGAGAAGACGTGTACGTTGCGGAAACAATGGCGAATTTCACGCCAGTTGCGCGATCGGTTTTGGAAACGTTGGGTGGTGGAGTATTTGCCCACTTTGACAAGGCGAGATAAGTGGTGCACGTCGTCGAAGGCGTTGAGTGTGGGCGATATCGTTTTCATTTGCGATCCGAATATGCCAAGGCGACAGTGGTGCCGCGGTGTAGTTGAGAGTGTCTACCGGGGTGCAGATGGTGAGATAAGAAGGGCGGATGTCAGAACAAGCACAGGGGTGCTTCGACGTCCAACATCAAAGCTGGCCGTTTTAAACGTAGACTCTAGTGAAGACTAGCGTTTCACGGGGGTGGGGGTGTAACAAAACGCCCATCCCTATTTTCGTTTATCATAATCGCTGTA